AACCACTCGACTACCGAGCTTGCCGGGGTCGGCTTGCCGGTCCGAGTCAGGTGAAGCAGCGGGTACCGCGAACTATTTTCAAGATGTATTTTTGCGTTGGGGAGATGTTTATTTATGTAACGGGTTTTGCCCTTTACCCAACGAGTCAGGTGAAGCAGCGGGTATGTGTCTTGATGTGAAGCACATTGGTGTAAACATTCTCTGGTTGGTAAATGACTTCGTCAGCAAGGCAGTGCGCGCCACGATGTACAGGCTCCCATTGGACGATCTCTGAAGTTGCGCGTTAACTGTGCATGTGCAATGGGCGTGGTTTAAACTGCGGTGACGTCATAATTACGAACCGGATAATGGAGATCAATGGTGTAAATGGCATGCCAAGAGCGAGAACCAGGGCGAGAACCAACACGCGCGCGTATTCCATCGTTTCTTCTGCGCTCAAGGCTCACTAATATATTGTGGTCCCATTGGAATTTTACAGCTATCATCGGGAGCGATTACAGAGATATTTTCATAAATCACGAATATCGGACTTCTGGCGTCCAACTCGGCGTGTTTTGCGCACAATAACCTCCAACACGTGGGCCTATTTTGCCTAGAGGCGGGCGGCTACATTGAGAGCTGAGTGCAAAGTTTTACTCCAATTTTGCGAGTGTTTCCGGCGAAGGCCAAGGGCGAATACAAACAGTTCGCGTGGCTATCTCCCATAAACTTGAAAATAAAAGGGAAGTTCTGGCCACAATATTGAATTTCCAAAGGGAAGCGGGAAGTCAGCCTCCCCTTGAGAGTCACCGGGGCGGCGCTGTTTCTGTCCGATTTTGCACTGTTTTCAATGGGCGCGTATTTAGTGCGATACAGGTTGATCCTCACGCTGCGAGGCCGCCAAGGCGTGTTGTGTTGCTGGCATAGAGTGCAAACGTTACAACGACTTTACCTGTTCACAATATTTATGCAAAAATACCCCAAACGTCTTTGCAAAGGTCACCCGAAACACGTGATAAAACCAAAACATAAAAATGCACGAAAATAGGCTATTTTGTATTCAGTGATTTGTATTCAACATCGTTCGTTCACATGTGAAGTCGACAGAAGCGAGTGTCGATTCTTAACCCATCATGTGCTGATTTGTATCGACGCCAAAAGCCAATTTATTCGAAAATCAACTGGATCGATCTCTCAGCCAGTTGATGAATTACCATCGGGGAATATTGAAAACCACAGCGCGCCAGATTTAAGCTCTTGAGCTTGACTTTGAAGAATCTTTCTATATGTTAATGACCAACGGGACGGTGTCCAGATGGGTTTCACATTCCTATAGAAAAAAAAAGTAATGTCATGGACATCGCGACAGCAACAGACAAAACTGCTTGTGTCAAAAGACTCCTCGAGTCAACGCAACATCACTGAGTGAACAGACGAACTGATTCAGACGTCTTGTTACCTTGCCGGCGCTCAGTGGATGGTCCTGAACAATAAGTCACCACAGAGCTAAAACCTTTTTAAAGCTTTTTGTAAGAACACCAAAGAATAAAACTGAGTTGACAGGTACGTTAGCCTACTAGTGCATGACGTACGCATTTTAAAAAGATTTTTTTCAAAGTTTGTATTGTGAGATGATTTTTCCTGTTTGTTTTTTAGAAGTTTGTTTTTTTCACGATTTTTCCAGGCTTTTACGAGATCCACTTTCAGAAATGTTTCTAACTGACTAAAAAATATGATAATATATATATAAGTTTATATATATAATATAAAATATGATATATATAAGTTTATTTCTTTATTTTCGGATTCATTCTTACTGGACATTGCCCCAAGAAGAAATCGTTTGTTTTGAGTTGACTGATTGAGGCCGTAATATGATCAGATCATAGCTTCATTGCTGTCATATTCATCATAAGTAGACATTACTTGCGTGATGCATAGTAGGCTTCGAGGGCATTGAGGTCCCTGCCTACAGCCCATCCCTTAAAATGGCCTTGAAAAATTTTATTTAAAAAAATTTAAACAGTAGGTCTGATGAAGGTTTGAATTATGCTATACTTTATGGCACAAGTGGGTTTCCGTAGATGGGCATGGGAAACACTCACAGACTAGACGTGTAAAACGCAATCTGTGGGAACATGCCGGTACTGGTCCGGATTTATAGGCTGCGGCCGGATAAGCTCCAGCCGACCGCAGTATTCGCCATATTCGGTGTCCGAATCTGTTGTCTGAAGCTGGGTCTAGGTCTCACTCCATTGGACTTAAATACATGTACGCTAACATAGGCTGTTTTCCAATACGCAACTTCGTCTCCGTCTCAGGCTTCGTGTAGGAAGCCAATCCCTGATTGTGGCCTGAAGCATTTAACTTGAATTGAAGTACTGTAATGTTTGGCTCTTTTAAATCTTACTTGATGTTTTGTGGCACGATCAGACTTACTATTGCGCTTACATCCTCAAAGTCAGGAAATAAAAAACAGCTGAGGCCTGAGACGGAGCCCAAGCCCTAGCTCTGGAAGCCCGTTTTTAATGGACCGCGCCCTCTATAGTAGAGGTCTATTAAATTTATTACATGCAAGTACATGTACAATATATATGTACATGTACGTGCCAACTCGCTGCCCTGCTTGATTTTTGTGGACATTTGGCGCAAGCATCACAGTTTGTATCAGAATAATGGCTTCCACTAGTAAGCAGGAACAGCAAGGGTCATCGTTGGGGGCTAGTATGCTGGAGGAAGTGGTGCGTTTGACGTGGGGTCCACAGCTGAAGGAGGATGTCTTTGCGAGATGGTGTCAAGGTGATTTTTTTTTTTGTATTATCAAGCCATTGGGACAGTAGGCTGTGAGCAGGGTGGGGCATGTATTTCCGACAGCGACCACTGTCATGCTATCGGTATACTACACAAATCGCCCAAGATGTGACTGTTAACGTGCAGTCCTCTTGCATCGCCCCATTACTTTAATGTTGTCCAACATTGCCTTGAACGTTTTCACATCTGGTGCTGATTTTCCACGTATGAATGTTACGAGTATACAGTGACTTCCAGTACTTAAGCTGTAGCAGTCCTTACTAGTTTTGGGGATTATGTCACAGCTTATTGGGAAATTCTCACTTTTAAGACTTGGCTTCCTGTTACTGTTAGGCAGTGGATATTATTAAACTGGCTACAGCAAAAATTCTGTGACGGGATTCTGCCGGTAGACCTTTCTGATTGGTCCAAATCCATGACGTATTTGCCGTTGCCGGTTCAATATCCACTGCCTTCTTGTGAACACATATATATTCAATGTTTATGCAGTAAGCTTCATTCTCCCCTAAATCACCAGATATAAGAAGGGCCTTAAATCCTTCCCACAGTGCCTTTCCGCCATTGGGGAAATCACCCATGTGGTGTTAGATCTAGCATTAAGGCTTGTAATCATGACAGATCACTTCTCAATCCGTGACCGTGGTGACTTCAGTTGCTTCATTGTCAGATTGTAATGCGTGCACAAGGTAAAATAAAAAAAAAATCTCCCGAGGCTGCAAAGTGAAACCAGCCCCATAAGGTGGCTCATTCATAAGGCAGCACGGACATTCGGGACTCTCGCAAAATGGTGGGTAGTAACCAATTAAAACAGCAACTATGGCAACGTATACGGATTACACAATCATTTCTTTGATCAGTACATACGGGCCCGTTCATTGCAGTTGTTTTCAATGGTTGCCACCCGCCATTTTGCGAAACTCCCGGATGCCTGCGCCGCCCCCATAGATGTATTGGACTACGGGCAGGTACAGTGAGCCACATAATACTTGATACATCCACTTTACAGCTTTTTGTGTTGAGAGTTTCTGTCGCAAACATGGCTTAGGGTCCCTGAAAATGAGATCCATGTGACCAGTTGCTCTCTGCACAATCGGGCGATGGCTGTTCCCATTCCTGGTTGTGGAAGTCTTCTTCGAAAAACATGAAGTAAGGTTGGAGATTTCATACAGGATTGACTCATAGTGCAACACAGTCACACGATCCTGTTTGCTTGACTGATCATGCCAAAACAATTGTGCTTATGACTGCCACCTACAAACTTGGGCCTCTTGCTTGTTGTTGCCTTGTGATAGGTTTTACCTTCAGCGAGCACGAGCCCACTGCTCTCATGCAACATGAGGGTGGGCCGTGTGCCGTGATCGCTCCCCTGCAGGCGTTCATCCTCAAGGCTTTGCTCTTCCAGGGAGAACCTCCGGTGGAGTGGAGACAGTTGGACGGTAAGTTTGAGGATTCTGCCCCATCTGCTCAGACCATTTCTGCATACACAACTGGTACATGTATTGTGTGTATGCGGATCAGTGGACGTATGTGCCATTTGGGTGTTTCTTATACTTGTTCTGAACCACATTATTAAGTGCACTGTATTTGCATTTATCTCTGCCCATTAGGCCTATTGAGGTGTTTCACATGACATAGCATGACTTTCAGATGTATATCAGGAAGCGTACCACGTCCGTGGAAGCACATTTTTTATTGTCCATTTTGTGTACCGTACTCAACAATTTTGAGAGACTGTGAAGGCATGCACATTTCAGCGTACATCTAAAAATTGAGTGGTGACCATCAAATACCATTTGACTAAAAGTCCTCTTTGAAGCATCACTGAGATTGCCCGAGTCCATCTCACCTCATAGGGACTGTTTGCCCCTCGAATGGGAGGATAAATCACTGACATAGCATCTTAGTAGATTGTGGTACAGTGTCTTGCTTGAGGACACACTCACCACATTTCATTCAATTGGACTGTGACCAGCGGACTGCAGAAGTACCTAAAATCAGTTCAGAGGGTCTCCAAGATCAGCTTCATCTAGAGATCCCATTTGGAACCTTGCAACTGTGCCTTATGGTCAAATTCAGAAAGCTCATTTCAAAACACCAGTGATTAAAAGCCGAGTTCCAGGTGCGTGCTTGAAAGCCAAAACTCGCTATTATAATCCCGCCATCAAATGTCAGGTGATCAGTGCCGGGCTCTCCTACTGGCTGCCATGACGGAGGTTCTGCAGACTGTCAGCAGTGGGGGCGGGTACTACCTCGTCCTGAAGGCGGACAAGCAGGACGCCATGTTGGAGGAGGGGGCGGTGATTGAGAATGTAGTGGAGGCGGCGCAGGGCGAGGGCAGCAACCATGAGATTTTCCACGCCGGTTTGAGGTAAAAATAAGAATGATTGAGGAGCTACCGTCCATTACATGTTTGTCATTGTTTAAGTCAGGACCCTGGAACTCCATCACAAGAACCATGACTGGGCCTCCAGTCTGAATTCAAGTCACAAGCTATTCAAATTAATTGCAACAAAAGCATTCCTTTGTCCGCGTTCACCCTATTATTTGTGACTGGTCTTGCATGCGTCTGGTCTTGTGATGTCGCAATTACAACACTGGTGTTTATGACCACCCTTCTGTGATTTGATCTTCTTTCCTTTTTACTGTCATGGATAGCACTCTTTTTCTATATTTCATGGCAGGTTACAGCCATTTGACTGCATTGAGGATGTGAACCGAGGTCTGGAGTCGACTCATGAGATGTTCCTAGCAGACTCTGGCTTGCTCCTCTTTCTGTACTCGGTACTTCTAACTAAGGCAAGTGCCTGAGTTAAAGTTCTAGTTTTAAATGAAGCAGGCCTTCTAAATTAAACAGGGAAGTCTACCACATCCCACTACCCATGGCCCTAGACTCCGGCCGTGTCCGAAACGGGCTTCCATAGCTACGGGTACGTCTATTGTCTACGCGTCTCCATGCATTTCTAATGGAGTGAAGACCTAGACCAAGCTCTAGACAAGAGATTGTCGGACGCAGCCTATGAGTGTTTGTTACATTGGGTCTGTGCATGCACTATCGAGGGATGTCAAAGCCACAATGATACCACACATGTAGCTGCGGCAGAGGGCTGTAGCCATGACATCAGCCAATGGCCTTTGGGGCCATTTTTTCCAAATGTGGCTGTGCTTCCAGCTTTCGTGTGGTCTCTAGGTCGAAGTTTTGGGTCGTTCCATGAGGTTGGCTGTGACTGTGTCCTTGTTACATCCAAAACTGTTACCACCTGTCATGACCTGTAGAGTAGGTCATTTACTCTGTAAAAATAACACACACCTCTGTATCCAGCCTTGTATAACAATGTCAATTTGGAATCCACATGCAGGAAAATAGCTGTTCATTTTTACGGAACCCATGTAGCAATGGACATCGTCGCAAGTTGTGCCCCAACCTCATGGAATGACCCATTCAACAAATTAAAAATAGGGCCTACTCTAAGTTACGGCCTCATGTCCTGGGTTTTGATGATGTCACTGAAGCTGAAAGAAGGCTTTCTAAGTGGAGGTCTTAAGGTCTCCTAGGGATGAAGTCTGTTGATTAAGTCAAGATTTGGAAACCTCTCGTGTGCTCTCTGTCCATAGCAAGAAAAAAGGCATTTGCGCATAATGGCTGTGATATTTTTCAGCCATTTAACATGGTGGACATGTACTTATCGCAGACTCTAACAAAACAGTGGCCCTTGTAGGAAGATTTGGTAATTCGGTGGATATTGATTCAGTTTTGGTTGGTCTTTCAGGGTCTAGACAATATCAGGGAAGAAGTTGAAGATACCTCGGAGCCATTGATTGATGGCGTCTACGGACACGGAAGGTAAGAGCGAAGTGAACAAAATAGTTCATGTGTCTTTAAGAAATCCATCTCATCAAACAAGGAAAGAGGAATACATGCACCTTTGTAGAAATTGTAGACATTAGCTTAACTTTGTCTTCTGGGTGACTTTGCAGAGTTCTCCCTCAAGATCTTCTATTGAGCAGAAACTCTTGATTTGAAATTGTATGCGTTAGTCTTTCAAGGGGTGTCAAGCCCTTTACGAAGCATTGATGGTGGGGTTCTACTGTCTTCGATCCTGCAAAATCCTCCAAATATATCCTGGTGGATTTTCTAAAGTTGAGGAAAGTTCAGGGATGATGGAGATATTATTTCAAGGACATGGTGGTCTCAGATGGAATCAAATATCTTGTCTATTGAAAAACTTTTCATGTTTCTGTAGAACAATTTTTAGTCCTAAAACTGCAAATCTGCCCAAGTATAACAAGGTTTCTCCACTTTTTTAATTGATGTTGGACAGAGGTATCAATTTGTTGAGGCTTATGTTGAGAATGAAATATTTGCTATACGTTTACCGGCAAAAATGCGCAGAAAGTCTGAGAAATGGAAGTTGATGCTTTTGTAGTTGGCACATTGTATCCAGTTCGTGAGTGACTTCATCATACACGCCGATACGCCATGATTTGCAGGCTCCCATAGGACGATCACTGAAGTAAAGTTGTGCATTAACTTACGGTTCCATGGTAAATGCCGATCAATACATGTAACTTCATCTGCAGTTCATGTGCATTGGGCATGGTTTAAACTGAAGTGACGTCACACTTTTGAACCAGGTGGCTTTCTTGAATACATGTACGATAAATATCCGATGATTCCATCCAACGATGAGCCAGCTAAACCTTTACTTTTTCGTGTATTCGTCGTAGGATTTCCCTTACTTGAGCTTGTTTTTGAGCAAAATGTTGTTTTTTTGTCTTGGTTTTAATTCAAGTTATTTCCTGATTTTGTTTTGCTGCAGCCAAAGTCTTATCAACCTTATGCTTACGGGTAGTGCTGTCTCAAACGTCTTTGACAAGGAGAAGGAAGTCGCCGGTCTGCGTGAGTCCAGCCAAGTTGTTCCTTCCGAGTAGTCAGATCTTTTATCAAGGCTGAGCCTTTTGTGAAGGCTGCACATGGCCTAATCTTGTCAAGGTTTTTTAATTTTCTGCAAAATCTTAGCGCCATGTTGAGTGACTAAATAGTCTTTAATCATTTATGCCACTTACAAATTTACCACATCTTCAATTTTTTAAGCATGCATTCTAAATAACAAGTTTTTCAATTCCTCTAAATCTAGAACTATTTTGCATTTGTGGAGTTAATTATATGACGATAGTTGTGATTGCAATTTTGAAAGTCTTTCTTTTGACTTGTTTTTACAGAAATGAAAGGCATTTGTCAGCAGAGCAACGTAGGGTTCTTGACTCTCCTGGAAAACCTAAGATACTGCGAGGTACGACCCTGACTTGTCGCTAGAAATCTTTTACTTGTTGTGGAGGGTGTATTTTATTCTAAATCAATTATAATTGGGACTTTTAACATCCGGAGTCATGCCCTTGCGACACATGGTGAAGCCTACTGTATTCTTTTCCATGTTTTTTCTCTCCGTGTCTGACGTCAGGTTGGTGCATTCTTGAAGAACCCACGAAAGCCTATCTGGGTAGTCGGCAGTGAGACGCACCTAACTGTCTTATTCTCTCAGGTAAGCCAGCAAATTCAAAAAGAAAAATGAACCTCATGAATGTCTTAAACACAGAAAGTCGTCCTTTGAAATAGCTGTCAGATTGAGATGTTGTGGCTGTGAAGTAAACCACAGCGTATCGTTTCAACAAGGATCCAATTGGTCCGTTATCCATGTCCGACTAGTGTCACCCCAAGTCCCAGCCTGTGTGGCAACCTCAGATCAGAAAGTGAATCTCTCCTCGTTAGTCTTGATGCCCACGTTTTTGCGGGTTTAGCTGAGCTGAAATAACAAAAACATAATGCCTTGCAGTTTGGGACCAGAAAGTGTGAAGGCCCTGACTCCGAAGTGACCATTGGAGTTAGGCTCTGACAGCTGTACGTCGTACGGCTGGAAGGAGTGTCAGTTGAGCAGTGTTACGGTCAAGTCTACCTCAAGCCCTTTCACAAGTCTCGGTCACAAGACCAGTCACCAAGGAACAGGGTGAACGATAACAAAGGAATGCTGTTATCACAGCTGGTTTGAATAGCTCGGAACTTGACTCGTGACCAGATGACTTGTGACAGCACCGCCATCGGCTGCCTGATTGGCAGGTGCGTCGACTGTCCGGAAGTTTTAGACTAACAAGTGATGGCGTCAACGGTCATTGGGTTTTCACAGGAAGAGACGCTGGTCGCTGAAGAGACTGAATGGGAGCGCGCTCGCCGGATCTTCAGCATGTACGACACGGAGGGGAGTGGCTTCATCACCACTATCATGTTGAAAGAAGTACTGGATGCCCTAGGACTTGCCACCATGCCGGAATAGTGAGTTCAAATAGTCCCATTCATCCCTTGGTAGTGTCACCAGTTTCACAGACTGCAGTCAAAGTCCTATACGCAGTCTCTCGGTGAGAACTGCTTGGTGAATATCGTTGATGTCCCAAATTGACACGAGGTTATGGAATGAGTTTGGTTCCCCCAAACTGGCAAATGCAAGCCTGCCGTGGCAATACCAATCTGAGAATAAACAGTTTGAAAGGTTTGCCTCAAATTTTTTTTTCTATGCCAAAAAAAAAAAAAAAAATTGTGAACTTGGGGAAATGAAGATGGTGCAAATTTATGAAAGAAACGTTCTTAGTGCACACACAGCCTAATGTGTATTTGCCTGCAACCGGGGACTCCCTATTGTTCCTCTTTTGTTTGTACTTTATCGTTTTTTACAAGACCACCCATATGTTTTGTACACAATTGAAGACCACCCATATGTTTTGTACCCAGTTGTCAATCGGGGACCCTCTGTCAACCGGGGACCTTATTGTCCTCTATTGTTCAGGGTCCCCAATTGAATGCAGGCACAAACTCAGCCTTACAGTACTTGGGTTGACACCCAAGTAGGTGTCATTTTACATTGTGCATATGTGGCACATACTTGGGTACCTCGGAGTGTCTGTCTGTAGCTAGGATCAGTGCTTTCTGGTGGAACTCAACATGTAATATTGACCTCCATTTAACACTGTTCTGTTCCAGTCTGGTGCACTTGTATTGGCTCCGTGCATGAACTAATGAGGGAGTGCCTTAGCCAAGGGATAATCCGTTCTTTGGGCCATGCGGGGTCAGATTTTCCCTTCTCTAAGTTTCCCTAGTTTGATTGATGAATGGTCCTGGTTTCTCATCGGTTGACTGGTTTATCCTCTGCCTCCCTCATTGGTCCATTTGTTCTCACTTCCGCATACTAAATGTTCTGATTGGTCGATCTTTTCTTCCCAAAGTGTTGAATTTGTGAAGCAGCGCTTGGACCCTGACGACTTCGGTGTCGTTCTCCTCAACTCCTTCATGTCCGAGTTTTTCCCTAACGAGGTTAGTCTTAAAACAAATCACTCCTTCCCTGATGGTTTGTTGGGTTTCTTGATGTCATGCCAGACTCATATCGACATGTTAACTCAAATCAACCAGTTGATCTTGGCAGAATAATGACAAGGACATCTGCACTGGAAAGCAGAAGGTCGTAGCTTCCATTCCAAAAGCTGCTTTATTTTTCAATTGGAACCTCTGTGAAGGAAAAACCTCGGTGTATGTATATAAATGTTATAATTAAATGAAACTTCAAACTTCACCCTAAAAGAGCCATTGGGTGAAATTCGCCTCCCTTGACAGTCTTCTGATAGCACTGCAGTGCATTTTTCAGGAGCTGAGCCTTGAGGACTTTTAAAGTGTAACTCTTTGGTGTCGTTTTGGCAGCAGTTTTGTGAAAATCTAACTTGTCTTTCAGGCGCAGTGCCCATTTTTCCGAGACAGGTCAGCCAAAAATGTATACTTTTCACTGCAGTGCTCGATGCAAGTGGGCCATCAGGCCTGTCGCCGTGAATTTCAAATGATCGTCACAAACTTGCATGCCAACTTAGAAAACTCAAACTTTGCAGAGCCTAGTTCTTCCCCTCCCCGCTGTGAGATGGGCCAAAATAACCAAGCTCTTTAAGGCTCGAACTCGTGGTTTGCAGAGGTGCACAGCGTGATGGTGAATGTTATCTTTTTTGTGCTGCCAACAATTTTTTCACGCTTCCCGGCGACGTTAACGTCAGACTTATTGGCAGGTGAAGTGAGCGAATTTTGTTTTGTGTTGCAGCCGGATCGGATCATTCCTGAGTACTTTACAGTTTATCACTACAACGGCCTAAAGAGATCTTGCCCCAACAGACAGGTAGGCTAAGAATATTGACTAAATTCAAAATGCCTAACAGTTTGCATACGATAACATTTAATCTGAACTTTTTATGGTGCCAAACACAGACTCTCCCCAAGTCCCATTGAATGAATGGATGAATCTTCATCAGCTGTGGGGTTGTAACCCATAATCTGAATATCGTAATTCCAAAAGGTCTCATTTTATCAGATTGAAAAGAGACTGATCAAGTCTGTGTAAGACTACAAGCATGTCAAATTTCATCGGAGTCTGTTACTCTTGGGCCGAGATCCTAGAAAAAGGATACCCAACCCACCCAGACTTTGACACGGTCGGCTCTTTAGAAGGGTTTTGTCTAGTACGTTAAGAGTGCATTTAGCTCAATGTCGTGTACGTGACAAAGGCATACCTGCTCCCTCTCCTGCAGGTTGCCTACGTGGAAGGGCGGGCCTGCATTCCAGACCCCAGTGAGCTGACCTGCCTTAGTGATGCCACCCCCATCAAGAGCTGCCTCCGCACCAAGTGGCCCACCTTTGAGGTGGAGTGGAAAGACAATGCAAACCCCTCCATCATCTGAGGTCTCCTCCCTCCCTGTGGAAAGGCTGCCCTCCTTGTGTTAGCCTTGCCCTCCTGGTGGGAAAAGCACCCTCCTTGTGGAAACCCCACCCGCCTTGTGGGAAACCCTACCCTCCTTGTGAAAAGCCCCAGCCTCCTTGTGAAAAGCCACGCTCTCCTTGTGGAAAGTGCCACTCTCCTTGTGAAAAGGTTGGAATTGGGTGGGGTCAAGACTGAAATGCACCAAGCTCATATACACTTACAGAAAAAAAAATGCACATATATCTTTACAGGCATTGTGACCGCCCAAGCAAACTGTGTGGCAGATAAGAAACCCCGCAATCTACATAGACTTTGTGATTCAGTTTTGACAAACAGTTGTCAAACTGAGTGGCATATAAGACGACTGTTGGTGAAAGTTGAACGTGATATTGGCATATGCTTTTAAAGAGCACACTTCGAAATATATACACCGGTAGTACGTCACTGGTGCACGAGATAGAGACTAGGAATAGAAATATTGACGGAATTTCATAGTTTGGGTTTCCTGCTCTGCAGATTTAACCAATCTACAGTTTTGTACGGCAACCGTACGTAGTCGAGGTACCCAGGGTTTATTTAAGTTATTTGAATTGTCTTTATAAACAATTTGTGTACACAGTTATAGCCAAGCCAGCTTGATCTGTATGTTAGCACAAGAATTCAGACACGAAAATAACATGTAGCTGATGTCATTTTGTGAACAAAAGGCAATCATAAGAGCAGGATGACACGCCCCGTGCTGGATGCAAACAGCTAAATATAGTATGTCTTTGTACATGTATTCCAAAAATAGAAATAATGCACTGAGTAGGTCGGCCTGCTGCTGGGAGCAGACCTTTGTGTATCATGGATCGAGTGGACCGGAATTGCGGGTTACTCTAGTCGGTGTAAGCAAGCCACTTTAATGATGAGATTCCTAACTACATTGTTCTTTAACTGAGGCATTTTGATGTACAGCTCATGCCAGAAGTTTTTTGCTGCAGAAAAAAAGTTGGAATTTCTTTAACCTACCCTCCGGGGTACTTTGGCTAGAAAGTCTGCCGGGCACACCAAGTCTGCATCATTTGTCAAAAGTGGCTTGGCTGCCCAGGCCCAGTGTGATAAGATCCAATAGGTCAACTTTCACCTAGGCCAAACAGCCTAGGAGTCTGTGGTTGCCAGTCACCACAAGATCCATCAGTGGCATCGTTCAATGGGACTAGCTCCCAATGTCTCAACACGGCCAGTTTGTTAAGTTGCTGTTAATTGCCCAGTGCGTCAGACTTTTTCACCTGATGCACAGTGCTGTGTCTGGCAATATGAGGGTTAATGTTGTTTGAGGTCAGTGCCAAGCACAGGTTATCAAGTCGCAAGTCAAGTCTCAAATTGTTCAAATAAACCGAGACGTAAAGCGTTTTCCTGTCATTATTCAACCCATGTTTCACCCTACCATAGTTGTAATGGACTTGACGTCATTGGCGCGGCCACAACTCTTTGGCTTTTGCATTTAAATGGTTGTTGTTCATTCAAAGTTCTTTTTGGCGATGTTGTAAATTCATACCAAGATGCCATCATAGATCACTTCCAGAGAACCATGGTTTATTTGTTACCCATTGGTCATTGGATTTGGAAACATGCGGAATTTTAAGTTTCAATCAAAAATACCTGCTGGACAGGCATACAAGAAATTGGTGTTTGTTTTCTGTTTTATTTAGCTTTTCTCTTTTTCCTTTAAAAAAATCATTAATAGTTTTGTAAGGATTCAGTCAGTTGATTTGAAGTTGTTATTTATATGCCAAAGCGGTTTTTCGCTTTCTTAATACAGTGTATTCATTCAGAGGAAATATTGCACGTTGACTACTGCATGTATATTGCAGTGTGGCAGTTTCATTACTCTGAATGTGAACAGGCGTAGGATCGTATCGTAAGCATACCAAATATTGGTTTTAGTAGACATGTGCTATAAAGATGAATAGATATTTGGAACCAGCGTATACCAGGCCAGATTGTAGCAGACGCTTACATGTACAGGGAAAAGGCAGATATACTTGGTAGTTTATTCATATGAAGCATGTTTATGATGGAAGAATGGGACTTGCTTACCAGTGTTCACTGAAGGTCGAGGTAGTAATTTACTCACTTACAGACAGATAGGCGTAATCTGTGATGCGTAACGGCCAAATTATATTCACTGTTTAATCATTTGTGTACAATACACATTAGAGTGCAGTACGGAGTTCCCTCTGAAGACATCCCTACTGATATGGCAAAATTGTAAATCCTGACATACGTGTTCAGTTTATCCCACCGCTGCCACCAAGAGCAGTGCGTGCCGTCCCTGAATTGATGTCAGGTCGGTGGAAGATGTTTCTGTTATCTCTGTTTGGAAAATCTTGGGACAGATTCCATACATGGTATCTTGAAATCGTGTTTCCTCTTTTGTTCTATAAGAGAGCACTAATGCAGTGTTAATTCGTTCGATGACCACGCCTTATCTAGCTTTCACGTGTACACTACACATCTGTCTGTACAGTTCACAAAAGTTGACGGCGTTTCATATTCAGATTTGACCGTGGTTCATTATTGACACTCTAGTGATCACATTTTAGTGACGTCTGCGTGGAAAACTGGCCTATGGTAAAGGGAATGTTACTGTGTAACACTTATGTATGCCGCTCAAGGAAAGAGAAAGAAAAAGCGACTTACGCAACAACAGCATCAGCGCTGTCGTGATATACCAGGGAGTAATATGCAAAGTTTATACCAGTGCGACATGTACATGTAGTGAGTTAGTTGAGTAGATGCGTTAATTAAGAATGGATTTTTTGTTAACGAATTTATTTCACTGTCATCTGCTGAACATGGACCAGAATTTTACCAAAACGCAGAATATTTGGGAGTATGTTCGTTCACAAACGATGCAAGAAATTTGCACTCGCCAAAAAAATAAAATCATTCACATCACGAAGCAAGCTTTGGTAATTGTACCCGTGTTATCAGTGTCGCATTCGCGTCTTTTGCGTCGCCTACAAATTCAGTTCGTTGTCTGGAAGCCTTTGCGAAACTCATTAAGTGAACAAACTTAAGGCTTCACGCGATGCATTTTGGTCGATACACATTTTCCACAATATTACTCGGTGCAATTCTCTACTCCTTTGACACCCTTTTCGTCAAGTGTTTTGAACAGCGCACTTTTCAGCATTTAAAAATGGCGGCACGTTTTTCCGGACCCAAAGGGGGCTCTTTCTTGTGCTCGGAAGACAGCGTTCGTATTGGGATGTTTGTGCGTGTGAAACTTGTATGTGCTTGCTGAAAACGTGTGAGGAAGGTTTGCTCATAGGCTTCCTGTCATCTATTGCATATCACGATCATCAATCGCCAAATCAGGAAAAGTTAACACATATCAATCACCTTTTGTCCTGAAGTAGCTGTAAGGATGATTGAGGTTTCTCCCAGAATGACATCACGTGTTTGCTCACGATATGTGGAAATGTGCATCAGCATAAAAACCCTAAGGGCACCCAAATGTTCTTTAAAATGACAGACATTGAAAACAATGACTCATTTTCTAGAACATCAGAAATTACATCCTACAGAGACAGACCCCCCCCCAAAAAAAACTAACAAAGACAAACCTGTTTATTTCATTATTTATTAAATATTTTATTATATTTTATTAAACGAGGTGGAGCAATGGGATATTACCCATTGCATGTTTACAAATGATCAATGGGAGGTATTGTACCACACCGAAGTATTTTTATTATTGATCTTTTTAGGAGAAAGGGGTGTTGAAAAACTGGTATGTCCTGCTGCAAGCATATCACCCAAACTTTAGGCCGCATAGCTGTTTGAGAAAAGTGCCATTTTCTGTTTCAGTGATTCTATCGATTGAGTTTCACTGACCTATTCCCACATTAAGCCTTCGCCATAGTGTACTGTAGTCATTGGTTACCATTCTCATGTAAACGACTCGAACAATTGACCAATCCACGGGCTCTTGAGAAATGCAGCCACCTGTGTCGACGTAAACCTCCTCCACGGAACAACAGCGTTTTATGTTGCTATATAGCGGTCTTGTGAATAGGAGATGCGCATGTACATTTGTTTGCACGATCAGTACGTTCTATTCTTCTAATATCCGAGCAGCAATTGAAATTCTGACGTCTTTCCAGTTTCCATGTGGATGGACCCGAATATTGACCTCTGAGAAACGAGCGTCGACGTCCCAGGCCTGTCCTGCAAAAGATCTGAGAAAGTTGTTTGAGGATTTGCCCACAGCGTGTAGACTGTAAATGAATGGGGCCACGAACATCGTCGTCATATTGTCGGTGGTGCAGGTCAACCTTCATCTTCAAAGTTGAAAATGACTGACTCGAAAGTAACGGGAACCACTGGACGCATCCCTGCCCTAAATACAGACCTGTCGACACGTGAGCACGTTTGTACAATGTACATGTCGAAACGTGAGCACGTTCATACAATATTCACGCACATGTAGTTTGAGTGATCCACCTTGACACTTCATCCGGTTTCGATTCGTTCAATAGGAGAACTTGTTTTTGGTAATCGTCAAGGCCGATACCGTAAGTAACCGATCGCCACTAGTGAAAGAGCCTTACTATAGGTATTCTAGATTCGCCTCCACAGGGTTCGCCACAAAGGGAAACTTGAATTACCACGAGACTGTTATGGTAACAGCGTGAACCGGACATACACATCGAACCATCATCGCCTGCGCTTCAACCATAGGTTAAGGTAGGCCTACTTGCTTCTTTGGTTCCTGGCCTAATGCGTTTGGCGAGTGGAACTCTGTACACCTGAAAACAAACTCCCCGCTAGCGAGTGGAAGCCCCTTTGTGTATTTAAACCTGGAGTTGAGAGCAGAAACTGTTGGCAAAATATGTGGTAAAGTCTCGGTTGGAAAGTTTTGGAGAGATTTTGGCGCGTGATCGAAAGACAAACAACCAACACCGGATTTTTGCCAAGCGATGGGAGGGAAGAGCTCCAAAACGGATGTCGACGCCGTAGGCGGGTATTCCGTGGAAGACAGGGAGGATCCGTTGGTGGCTCACCAGGGGGACGAAATCCCAGGGGAGTTTCATCGGAAGAGAGGGCAGAAATTCACCTCGCTCACCGTCACGAGTAACCTCACCACCTCACATAGCTCGCTCAGGCCCGGTAGGTATTTGTTTTCTCTCAGTTGCTCTCAATTGTCCAAAGTGGCAGTTTAAAAGTCAGAGGCCCGGCGAAACGCTGCTACCCCAGCATGCCCGGACAATTGTGTTTTTTAGCTATGGGGTTCTAGCACATGTAAGAAGACGTTCAATTCCCAAAGTGCCCACTGTCATTTTATGATTTAAGATCACTATCAAGAATAATATATGCAGCAGTATTTTAAAGTTTAAATAAAATTTAATAAAAATCCGTGACGATGTAGGGTTACGAAACTAACACCTTTTAAGAAGAGTACTGATTATTTTGTCACCATGGACATGACAGAAAACGTAGCTGGATTTTAGTATGCATTGGCGCATACAAATTCACTTAGATCTCTATATAGGAAAGAATGCAGTGTCCCTACGAAGATTAAATATTGAAATCAATTAAAAATATTGATAGCGACTTAAATTAATAATAAATAACATTTTATAATAATTTTTATCACGCTGGTTCCTAAGCAGGTAACACCCAAATACCTATCAGAAATTCTAACCCCGTTCTAGATCTACTGGCCTTACTTACAAAACCAATTCCTGGCCTTTGTGGCATTCTTTCCCGAACAATATCTTAACTGCTCACAACTACGTCCCGGCAGGTGCTTGAAATATCCATGTATAAAACCACAATATCGCATTTGATGAAGCGGAACGGCTGCACAGAACTCCAACTGTATGACGTTCTACCGCCTTGAGCTGAGGTGTTTTCGTCACTTTTGTTGAAACATAACAGTGGAGCCATATTTAAACGAATGATTGGTATCATTGAGGGCAGGTTATTGTAAGCTCCTTCTTGGACTTGGGTTTGAATCTCATCCGTGCATGGATAATTTTTCATCGTGCCCCTCCTGAGTCCCTATTTTGTAGTGTATTCAGTGAAAACATAATGCCCAAATTATTCACGTTTTTCTTAAACGTGACAAACATGGTGCACCGCCGTTGTCACACCCACAGTCATTGGAAGATGATAATACTGAATATTGAACTAAAACAGTTAAAAACAACGCTGTAAAAACAGTGACACGCCTTATACTTTACCCCAACTGCAGATGTGTCCAAATGTACGAACCATTACCCAGAGCCATAACATAACATCATTGCAGACCCATTAATGACGCTACGATTGGGGTATATGCAGGAATTACATTCCAATTCGACTTTTACTTCCTCCATCCTTTAACAGGCAGTGCTGCATCTTCGGTGGTAGGCAGCTACAAGGAGCCTATATTGACAAGTGTCAGGTTTGAAGACTTCGAGTACCCCTTCGAGAATGTGGTCTTTGAAGGAGGCGGTAATAAGGGACTGGCTTATGCCGGGGCCGTCAGGGTAAGACAATTGATCCATTCATGCTAGAAACTGCGCATACCATCTCCACTTAATTCGAGTGTGTGTGTGTTTGCTAGTTTAGACTGCAGAGCCTAAACTTAAAGTGTAACCTTTAAGTACCACGAAGTAAATTCACTGCCTCCGGGTTCAGCTTTTTCTGTATGGTTTTCTTATCTGGTTTTGTAAGTGGTAAATTGCAGGCAGCATTATTCCATTATCCACAAGGGTCACGGTGGATTCAGGACCAAATTTTAGAGAGGGGGGCTCCAAAATGTTTTTTTTTATGACCAAACACTTTTCTCATGTAACCTGTTTCCCCGTTTTTTCCCCTGTAGGTTTGTTCTTGTCACATATGCCAGATAATAGTGTTCTGAACGGTTGCCTGTCGTCAGTGTAACTTTCAATATCACGAAGATATACAATGCCCACATTTTATTTGCCGGTGAAGGTGCAGTCAAGCCTGTCGTACTGCATGCATACGGGTGCTGTTAATTTAAAATTCATTGGAGATTGCCAGCGTGGACAAATTCGGTTGCAAAGTAGGGCTTGAAAGGCTATCATCTGGCCACTCGAAGTCGAACGAGTACACAGGATTTCGTTTTCAAAAACTGTCCTTGGAGCGTCTCGAAGCCTGTCTGGCGGCTTTTACGACAAAGCCATCTCTAGATAATAGAGGCCGACATCTGTGCAAAGGAGAATAGTAGGATACCGTGAAGATTTATGCCTCACTCGTGGGCATTGACACACTCAACAGAGTACATGTATATTTACTTTCTCACTTTCTCTGAGTAAAGCTGATTACACTCCAGCGGTTATTCGCTTGTTCCACGTTTGCCTGGGCATGCGTACGAGACATCTGAACTACTTGACCACGGGCAGTCTGGCTATTTATTTTATTACACAACTGTCGGGGGATGAGCTGTGTACATTCCTGTTGGAAAATGGTGTTGCGGGTCTTGAACGGAGACGCGTCTTCATGCTTCGTGGAGGTTTCCCCATTGAAAAGTCGGACTTTACTTCCCCTTGAGTAAAGGCTACAATCGTAGCTCTGGAGGATTTGTGTAGAAAACTATTGCAGTTGGAGTGACAGGAGACAAGTCACTCTGGGAAGTGGCTGCAAAGCCAACTAGTGGATTCCATGCACACTTACGTTTTAACGCCAGCCCTATCCAAGTGATAAGGACACGGTCTCGTGGTAGGGTAATCGTCACCCCTCAGTGGGGTCATTTTCATGACTTCGTTTCGGTTGAAGGATGCCTACTAGCAAAGTAAGACCCTGATGTGACAATGGGTGCGATTTGTGGGCATTCAGGCGACGCGAACAGCGAAGAATTTTTTAGGGATACGAAGTGCTTAGGATCGGCTAAACCCTGAACACGAGCGCTATAGCCCCCTCTCGTAATGGGCCAGGCAAGACCATTCCAGAACAAAGAAATATGGAAGGCCGTGCGCGAGTCGGCTAATGGCCGTCCCGATAGGACAGACGCTGTTGGAATGCCAGACTCGCTTGTTGCCTACCTATTTGAAGTATGGCACTACTTGGTGCTACTTGGGCACTACTTGGGCGCTACTTGGTTTGGGAAAATCTTTTGAGTTTGCTCAAATATGACCACTTTAAACAGCGCCCTCCTATAATGCCCGCCGTGCTTCAATTTGGTGAATACTCTTCGTCAGGGCAGATAAAGTTGGTAGAAATATCATAATGACACCATTATAGTGTCAAATTTTACCTAAAACTGTACGTTTGGCCGATCACTTTGAAAAGAGGGTTATTTGCATCCAACATCACGCTAACCATGTATTGAGCTAGTCTGGATACCAGACCCGATGAGTCAGGTATAATATACTGGCGATTCACAATAGTGCGCCTCCAAGAGGTTGCAACGCGTTGACCAATCACAGTGCGCGAAATCTGTCGACCCACTGCGCGTTTGGAAAGGGTCGACAGATTTTGCGCTCTGTGATTGGTCAACGTGTTGCAACCTCTTGGAGGCGCACTATTGTGAATCGCCCGTATTATACCCGACTCTTTTTCCTGATGTAGGTTTTTGAGAATGCAGGGTTGTGGCCCAACATTCGACGATTGGCAGGAGCGAGTGCCGGGGCAATGTGGGCCATTCTCCTCGGTGTCGGCTACTCCTCGCACGATGTCGAGGGATTCCTTAGTCTTGATCTCAAGGAGTTCTTTCTAGGTGAGACAACCGATGGAACTGCCCGGCTAGGTTGTTCTAAACAAGGACCGGTCGGACCAGTTTGAGTCACATGTAGTTTCGGGGTAAACGCTCGCGCTCAAATCATGTCGTTCTCAACTTCATTTTACCGTTTGTGGACACAAATTTACCAATCATGCGCCGATGAGTGCGGGACACCAAAAGCTCAAACGTGATTGGCGAAGGCAAACGGCCTTCAGCAGATTGAGTCATGAAGGGCCTTTTGTTTTACGCGAATCTGGATCTCGATCAGTGATCCTTACGCTGGTTGGCACCATCTATTAGACTATATTGGGCGTCCATAAACCAACGAAAAGCCAAAATTCCTCGCTAACCCGTAAAATACGTTCTCCGTAAAAACAAAATTAGCGCCGATTTTTCGGTTGCGATAAGCAGCCCCATGAAATTGGGCCCTATTCATTCAAAATGTCCTTTTGAGGTCCGCGTGCAAAGACCGCATGCTCTGTTCCATTGGAAAGGCGCTGGTGTAGTCTTTATAGTTTCCCGTGTTCGAAATGGAAGTGGATTTGTTTTTAGGATTGTTTTCCAGTCGTTCGTGCCTAATGTCTTGCATTGTTCCGTACTCTCATTTTTTTCTGCTATCATAGATGCCTCGTGTGGCGTCTGTTCGCTTGTTCCAAATGTAATGAAGCACTACGGCTGGCACCCGGCAAGTAAACTATACAGTTGGTTCGGGGATCGTCTGGAGGACGCCACAGGGTGTAGAGACATCACATTCCAACAGGTACTAAAAGGGTAACTCTTCTTTTGAAGTAAGTGCTAAAGTGAAATATGATGTGGTGTGCTGCGAGATGTCACAAGGAAGCCACTTTATCACAATTTCTTTCTCATTTCTTTCACAAGCGGTACCTGTTAGGTTAATGAACATTTTGTGTGTGGAACAGCAACTGGCGGGGTGCTTACCATATCAATTTGGTGCATCCCTAAAATGTTCCACCAACAAAACTATCCTATTACATGCCTCAGCATACATGTACTAATTAGCTTCACCAACATTGTTCTGAATGAAGGTGTGAATCCGTCCAAAGTAACGCAATCGTTTTAACGAATACGTTCGTGGAATTGTTTTCTGCCCGTCAGACTTATGACCGATTCAACAAGGAAATCTGTATTGTAGTGACAAACGTCAACGTCATGGATGCCGAGTATTGCCACGTCAAGACCACACCCAACATGTCGATCCGGATGGCAATGCGCATGTCCATGGCTATTCCAGGTAAAATTGTGCACTCCCACTTTACTAAAGGTAAATATTTAAAGAATGCCCTGAGCAACCTTTGAAATTCAGTTGTCATCCTGAGCCTGACTCTGTTTTTATTGTGTTATTAGCACAGCGTCTATTTTCTCTTTGATTTCCTCTTACTTTCAGGCTTGTTTTGCGCCGTCAAATACAAACGATTTGGGGTCGAGGATTGCTACGTGGATGGAGGCCTTCTCTGCAACTATCCCATCCATTGCTTTGATGGTACGGTCTAGGTTTACCTCCATTTGGTTGTATTTTACCGTACAGGAAGAAGTTTACATGGGCTACAGGTCCCATCAAATCACATGGTATAGTGTCTAATTTCAAGTTTTCTTGAAAAAAGTTAACACACGATGTCATAATTGTAAAACAAATTAAGGTCTCACAATGCTCTCAGCCCACACAGGTCATTGAAACCACCGGCGGCCATCTCAGTAATCAATACAAAGAAAGGGTTTGTCCTGTTAACCAAATATGCCATTTGCGAATTAAATTAAAACAAAATCTGGTACACTTGGTTATCTAATTGCACATAAACATAACTAGTTGAATTCCCCAGGCTAAAGACACTGTCGCTATACCTCGTGACACCCAGCACGATGTATGCGGTAAAAGGGGACCCCCCTAACGTGATGCACTAGCTGCATACCCTAAAGCTATTGAGCCTACTGCAGCCCCCCTCGGAAATCTGACAGGAATTCCAAAGATTCCATCAACACAAAAGAAGACACAATAGAGGGGTCCACCTTTGCTGCATATCTTATATCATAAGGACATCGTGATTCAGGGCAAGCTTTTGCACAGCGATCGCCATATCTGAAATGGACTGGTTCCTTTGTGCCCTTCTTATCCATTGAGAACAGTGTATTGTTGCAAGGCGTCTCTTATGTAACTAAGGAAAAGCTTGCCCCGAATCACGAGGTACAGCAACATCGGTTTTAGTAAGGAGAATTCAAGTTGTTATGTTCACGTGAATTTAAAGAACTCAGTGTACCAGATTTTATTCAAATTTAACTCGCAGTAGTTAGGATGGCACGCAAAGCCAACAATCACTTTTGTATTTTACAGGGTAAGATTGCCGCTAGTGGGTTCAGTCAGTACAAGAGCATTGCGAGTGCAAGTGTTTTTATGGAGTCCGTGCGAGTGAACTGCATGGGTTGCAGAGTATTGTACTCGGCCTATTATAATCTAAAAATGTACAAAACATTTGCCATCGTTTAGGAGATGCTTGCTCAAAGAGTCACAAACCCCTTGATGAACTTTTTTCCCCATTTTTTAACAGGTTGGTGGTTGTCCATGAAACCAGAGGACAGTTTCCTGCAGCGACTTCAGCCCCTGGAGAACGCGGCTATCCTCATGCAGAAGAGCGCAAGGTTCGCTCCTGTCAACGAAAAGACTATCGGCTTTCTCTTGGTGAGCGCAAACCACATGGTAGAGCTGCAGTGTTCGTGCCCGCGAGAACACTCGAAGTCTGCTGCTCTGGTAGTTGAAAGTGAGGCAAAAAGCTAAAAATTTTCTTGTAAGCTTTCTCACCTCCACACTGTGCCGGATTGTAGGTCTAGGAAGTGTTTTCAAGGCTTTTCGTTGGCAAATATAAAAGATATGACAACTTTTAAGGAAATAAGACAGATAAAACCTACAAGAATGTTAAAATTAATCACCCATGATTTGCTGTCGCCAGTCTTCTATCAAAATAATGTTAAATCAACTTGCCAAGTAGAATCAATTTTTGTGGGGGGGGGGATTGTACAGTCGAATAATGGTATTTTTTAATATTCAGTTTAACATGCGATGTTACCATTTTCTACGTTCAAATGCAAAGCATTGCTGCTCCATTGTACTTTCACAGTCGGAGTGTTGATAAACATGCTTATAGAAATGTTGCTCATTTGAA